ACTCCAGAAATAAGTGAAATGTAAATCATGGTTACGAAACAAAAAATTTGACTCTAGATATTTAAACATTAAAAAATTATTCTCAAATTAGAAAATTAGAATATTCTCAAATTAAAAAAGAATTGGGTTATTTACTCTTTATCTTTTATTCAACACTTTTAAAAATGGTCAGGAACCAATTTTCAGTCATTTTTTTTTTTTCTAGAACTTAAATTAATCATTCAAAAAGTATTGCTATAAATTCTTTAATGGAGAATGAAGTCAAAAAAAAATTTTTTTTGTCTAAATTTCAAAATGACATATTTTTTTTATGCTTTAAGAGCCTGAAACCATCTTTTTTAAAAAAGATAGCTTAAGATCTAATATTTCATTTGAAAAATAAATTGAATCCATAAGACTTAGCCAACTCCGGGAGTTAATGAAAGCGTAACCCATGGTAACAGAACAAAATATTTGACTGACCATTTTAAAATCAGAAAATAACTATCAAAAAATTTAAATTTCAATATTTTCTCAACATTTTTAAATTCAGCACCCTCAAAAATAGTCAGGTACTATTTTTAGCCACATTCTTCCACTAGATTTTAAGTTATTCATTAAAAAGTAATACTACAAAATCCATAATGGCTGATTTGGTAAAAAAAGGAACATTTTAGGCTAAATTTCTTTTGAACCATTTGGATTTGGGAGCTCAATTTTTACATTTATCATGTTTAATTAATTTTTACCACTGGTTAAAATTTAAAGAAAATCCAAGGGGTGACTAAAATGACCACTTTTACATGGAACTACTTTATAATTTAAATATAAACAAAAGTAGCATGAATATATATTATTATAATAACTATTTATTTAAAAAGAATCTTTATAAAAAGTCACTACTTTTTGACCCTTTAGAACAGACAGCTGATCATAAATGTAATTTCTCTAGTATGATAAAGGTTTGCATTGGCTTGTGATAGAGATTTTTATTGGTTTGTGATAGAGGTTTGCATTGGTTTGTGATAAAGGTTTGCAAATGAGTTATTTACAATTTACAATTAGTAAATAACTCATTTAGTATTATATATCTAACCCAATGCAAAGTTAGCATTAGCAACTTTTCTTTATTATTTCTTTTATCACAATTTTCTTAGAACCTGATTCAATTCTTTACCTTTATAATCTCTTATTCATCCTTGTAGAGAATACTGTAGTCATCTTTGTGCTGTTTCTTCAAACAAAGCTTCCTCCTATAGGTTCAAACAAAAGCTGTCTTCTTTAGGTGCAAAAACATATGGTAAATTTATTCAGAGCGGCATTAGCAGTCAAACCTGAACTTTTTTCTGATTGTCACATGGTTGTATCTTTTACTTTTACCAACAAATATTACAATAGTGACAGTAAGCTATCATTTTGATAGTAAGCTATCATTCTTGTTTCATCTACAAAATCATGTTGCCTGACTCACCATTTAGTAAACATTCGTGTCATTTTGTAAACTAAAAGTTTACATAATGACGTATCATTTTGTAAATTTTTAGTGAAACTGTATCTTCATGCACAATTAGTATGGATCCTGATAATGCCATCCTAGCTGACCCAAGAATGTCACTTATATGGGGTGATAGTGTACATATCAAGGTAAAAACTTTTAATTTTATCCATGGAAAATAATTTAATTTGAATCTTCAAATTAAATGAAATTTTGACTTTATAGTACGACAATAAATACACCCATAAAATGAAAACAACTTTATATAATTTGATAAAAATTGGTGCAAATATAGCATATGACAGTACCAAACTTTAGATAAAATTTCAGTCGGATTGGTTAACTTGTTAAGGATTTATGGTAATTTAATTAATATTTTGTTAGTTTTTTTCTACTTATAACTCAAAACATTACTAATTACTGAGATATTCTGTAAGTATTTTCAAAATAATGATTACACAAGTGTTCTACTATGTAATTTCAACAATATTTATTATAATTGTTTGATTGCTATATGTACCATTTTCATTCTATAAATCATTCTTATAGACCAAAATATTGATTCACTATTTAAATTGTAGTTTGACTTGGCTTATAAACTGTGTAAAAATATCAGCATTTTCTTATGTATAAACTACTGTCAAAATGCATGAAAATATTGAAAAAAGTTCAAAAGCCTTTATAAAGACACTTCATAAAAAAATTGACAAATAAGGTTTGGAGGGCCAGTCAGTGGAAAATCTTATGAAAAGGAGATTGAAGCCTATTGAAGAGTAGTAAAAATCTTTTGTAGGAATGTGTCATCAAATAACATCTAAACTGTCAATAAGTATGACAAATGTCAATATTTTAAATTATAATTTCCTTTAAAGGAAAAAATTATGTAAGAACTATTTCCTTGTAATTTAAGTAATTATTTCTTTGATTTTAATTGTTTGTAATTAATAATATTTGTAGGTATGTTAATGGATTGTTATCCAATATTAATTCAGGTTAAATTTTGTAAAATGGATAGTTCGATTTAGTTAAGTTGGATTTAGAACAGGAAACAAGAGGGGAAAGTAATTACACTCTCTCCTTTGCTTAATTTCAATTCAATACAAGTGTGACCTAAAACAAGAATCACAATGTGTTATTGCCTAATTTACCCAGGTAAATATTTATACTTAAATAATTTTTACAAATATATTCAAATAAAATCTTTAAAAAAAGAGATAAGATTTCAGAAAGTATATTTTTAATCACTTTAAAAACAAATAACTTTAAAGTTTTAAAAAACTTTCTGAGCAAAGTTTAATATAAAGATAAAATATGTTTTGGTTTCAGGTCAAAGAAGTTTCAGGTCAAAGAAGTGCCCAACCACTATCAAGTGCTCCAAAATTGACCTTTCTAGCTCTTGTAAATGTACAATTATATATGGGACTGTCAGACTATGGATTAAAAAAACTAGTCAGAAATGTAAACCAAACATCAATCAGAAAGATAATTGAGCCAAATTTTTATAAGAATTTCTTAAGACTAAGTCAACACTTGAGTGATTTCTTTTCTTGCAGTGACTTAAAAATTACAGACGAAAAAGGAGATTCTTGAACAGTTGGGTTGTTGCTCACTGCAATGAATTATCAAGTCTTGTGAATCATGTTATTCAATCTCTCCAATTTTCTTGTGGATATTATAATAGCTTGGAACTGATTTTTGGTTTTCTTTTGGATACCAGCTCACCCCCTTAAAAACAACCTCTTCCACAAAGGACTGACAAAGACACTAGAGTTAAGAGATGAATTCTTCTTGCAGTATCAGAAGATTTGCCATAAACTCACTCCAACATTGAACAAATCTGATTAATACAAATAGAGTTAAACTAATTTTGGCTTTTGACCATTTGTGGTCTTCAAACTTATTTAAGTATGCACCCTTATACATGGTTTGACGTCAAATTCAAGCATCTTGCCGTAACAAAATGTAGCAATAAAACAAATTATAATAAAAATTGTTAATATTACATAGTAGAATACTCATGTAATCTTTATTTTGAATATAGTGACCGAATATCATGGTAATCAGTAACCTTTTGAGGTCTAAGTAGCAAATAACTAACAAAATATAAACTAAAACTGCCATAAATCTCTAACCAGTAAACCAATCCGGCTGAAATTAGTTAAAAAGTGAGTTTAGTGTGGCCATATGCTTTATTTGAACCAATTTTTATCAAATTACATATAGTAGTTCTCATTCTACACGTGTTTTTATTGTAGCAACATAAAGTCAAATTTCACCTAATTTTAAAATTCAAATTAAATTATTTTCCGAGGACAAAATTAAAAGATTTTAAAATTTGCATCACAAGATACCTTGATGTGTATGCTATTACCCATATAAGTGGCATTTTCGGTCAGCTAGGTTGACATTATCAAAATCCGTGGTAACCATTTATGTTTAAAAAAATAAAAAAATTTTCTTCAAACAATGCTTTGCAACTCTTTCCTGTCTTTATGTTTTACCGACTTAAAAATTACTGACTTAAACTCTCTTCTTGGCTTTCTAATATCTAAATTTCCCAATGTTTAAATAATTTAAGTAACAATATCTTAACAATGTTTTTAATAAATAATTTAAACATTGAAACCAGGTTAAGCTTGTAGCCTTGTTAGGCGGAAAGAACCCAATATTTAAAAAACAAATAATTAGTTAAGAATAGAGCTTTCTAAATTTAAAATACCTATTATTTTATAGGTTTCCTCCAACATGGTTAATCTTTACAAGTAATTTTATGTGGTATTTTTTTACATAATTTTTTGAGCAGATCATATTCTGTGTGATAAAAAAAGCTTAACATATAGAACTTCATACTTCTGTCATAAAATGTAAAAAAATATCTACCACAACTCAAAAGCAATTCTAAAAGCTATGCTGCATGCAAGCATGCTTATATAATAGTATTGGTGTAAAGTATTGGCAGTATTTTCCATAACATTTCTTTTTATTTTAATTTTCATAACATTTCTTTTTATTTTAATTTTCATAACATTTCTTTTTATTTTAATTTTTATAACATTTCTTTTTATTTTAATGTTCATAACATTTCTTTTTATTTTAATTTTCATAACATTTCTTTTTATTTTTATTTTAAGTTATGAGAATTAGAATTAAATTTTTTTTATCTGTTCTTGAGTAACCACAAATAAAAAGCAAATGTTGAAAAAAAAAAAAAAAAAATTGTTAAATTTAAAAAAGTGTTTCTTCAATTGTCTTGTAAATAAAATATGCAATGACAAATGAACTAAACATTTTGTTTGCATATCTGTAAAAACAACTATATATTATAATACTAAATTATAATATATCAGATACCTATATATTATAATACCTATATATTATAACTAACTCTATAATATACATATAAATTATGTAGTATAAACCTATATATTATGTAGTAATGTACAGTTATATATTATAATGTAATACAATCATAGAAATTATACCAACTTTTAAATTTATAATGTAATACAATAATAAAAAAACCAACTTTTAAATTTAGAAAGAGTTGTATGAGTATTTAACTCGAGTGATCCATCATTTTTGCAAGTTAAGCCACTTATACAAAATGTGTTGTCATTTTTTTTCCATTCCAAACATCTGGCATCATAAGCTACCAAATCATTAACCAAAACATTTTGTCTTTTATGTAAGAATGTATTTCCATCTAAACAATTGTGAGAATTTATAAGACTTTCTTTTCAAATCTGGTTGAAAATAAGAATAGTCAAGCAGATTATATGATTGATTGCAGAAATATACAAACATTGTACCAGGTGGTAAAGTTAGACAACTTAAAGAGTTATAATTTGCCTACTTTAAAAGCTAAAGAAATGTCAAAAAAGCATTTAGAAATGTCAAAAAAAACTGGACTTATTATGATCAAAAAAAGACTGGACTTATTATGATATAATAAACATTATTATTAAAGAATAAGTTTTAAACAAACAACAAATATGAAGCATAATTAACTTGCTTCATATTTGTTGTTTTTTAACGTAATTTAGTCTCATATAACTTCTCTCTCATATGATCTCTCTCTCATATGACCTCTCTTATATGACCTATCAGGACCCTAATCATAGCTTTTTTATTAATTTTAACTATTAAATTCTATTTTTTTAAAAATTGAGTCTTCAGAACATTCATTGTTTACCAAAAATTTTCATAATATTTTAAAAGTTTCTAGTGGAAATCTTTTTATATAAAATACTATAAAAAATACAGTAAAATGCTTTTTTAAGCTTTTTATGAAAAATTTATGAAAATACATTTTTAATACATTGGGTCAGTTTCAAAAAAAGTTTTCCTAATCACTTTTTTATTTTTTTGAACATATTTCTATTATTGATCATGATTTTTTATTTGAAAGCATGAAACCAATGAAGCTGATGAAGATTTATATCTATCTTTGAATTCTAGATCATATTAATCGCAGTATCTACTATAAAGTAACTTTGTAATTACTTTATAGTAGCTGAAATTTTTTCAGTAGTTAAATTGCTTTGAAATAAGTTTTAGTTGCATTTTGTAATGGAGTTGCTGTTTTTATATACATTTAAGAAAATAATATTTTTAAATTTTTAAAATATATATAAAGGTATATAAAACTTAACACTGAAGACATTATACTAATTAACAATAACTTGTTACCAATAAAAATTATATTACAACACAACCATTAGTCGAAAAATAATAAGAATATTTACACAAAAGTATTTGAAATTTGTAGCTCTGAATGAAGTCATTTGAAAACTTGAATTATGTTTCTGATAGTTTTTATTTCGGAAAAATCATGACTTTTTTAAAAAAATCAAAAAAAAAAAGTTATTTTTTTAAACAAACATCTAACGTATTTTAAAGTAACATGAAATTGGTTAATTATGTTTTTGGTAGATAATGCAATGGCCAAACAGTCCAGAAACATAATCAAGATTCTAAAATCACTATGAAGTTTTTGTGAGACTAGTAGGTGATCTAAACAGGCCAGCAGTTTCGTGTCATCAGCCTACAATTTACTTGGGTGGACATTTTATTGGATATCTTGTTTACAAAAATAATGAATAGAATTGGACTTAAAGCAGGATCCTTAAGGGACGCCACTCGATACCTCCAACAACAAAAACATACAATCACCCATCATGGTTCATTGAAACTCTTGGTGTAAAAATAATTTTATCCAAATTAGGAGATTTCCAGTGAAACAATATGTCTCGAATTTGTGAATTAGTAACTTCTGTGGAACCATATGGACTGCTTTAATGAAATTTATGAATGCTACACCCATAGATACCTTTTCAGATAATACTTTTGGCATAATGTCAATCAACTCCAATTAATTTGTCACACATGTTTTTTTATTAATGAATCTGTGTTGATTTATTGAAATAAGACCATTATTTTCTCCATTAATTTACATACAATTGATGTTAAGGATATAGGTCAGTAACTTCCTTGGTCTACTTCCTTTTTTAAACAGTGGTATTACATTGGCTTTTTCCCATATTTTAGGACAACACCCACTATCTAGCAACTTTTGAAAAATTGTGCTTAGCGGTATTGAGATGCAGTCAACACAGTTCACACCATCTACAAAAATGGTTTTGTCAATTGATAGATCACTAAGTCATTTTTAAACAGATTTTGAGTTATTTGCAAGTATTTGCAGATAACTTCAGTTTGTTTCATAAAATTTGACAGTTCAGCATACTTATTTTTGTTAAAAACACTTTAAAAGTGATTGTTAAGTCAATTTGCAATGCCTATTGCATTTGTATTTGTTAACTAGTTGAAAGTTTTTATACCCACTAACTCAACATCAAAACCATAGTTTATTTTGAGCTTTGAATTTATTTTTGATGTCTTTATTTATCTATTTTCTAAAGTTTCAAGAAAATATTATAACAGTCATTAGTAGTGTGTCAATTGAATTTCAGCTGCCAGTGGATATTGTTGATTAATTATTCAGATATTTTTACAAAATTACTTTTGTGATAAATGGATTTTTCAACCAGTTTACATACAACTGCAGTACTTTCAACAGCATAATCCCATTAAAGGTTGTGATAAGAATTCTTCAGAGACCTTAGAAATTCATAACAAATAACATCAAGAACTCAATTTTCATTTTTGGCTATAATTAAATCAAGAATGTTGTTTTCTGTGATTTCATCAAGTTGAATGTTATGTATTACTAGCTGATCTAACCCATAAAAATACGGGTCTTTGTATGTCTATTCTACACTGAGCTTTTCTATACTTTTTTCTTATATATATATATATATATATATATATATATATATATATATATATATATATATATATATATATATATATATATATATATATATATATATATATATGTATATATATATATATATATATATGTATATATATATATATATATATGTATATATATATATATATATATATATATATATATATATATATATATATATATATATATATATATATATATATATATATATATATATATATATATATCCTAGCTTTCCAGACCCATAAAATACAGGTCTTTACCAAACCTACCACTCTATAACACTTCTATACTTATCTATTCCACACCAATCTATACCTAATATTTGTTTACTTCAATATTTTTATGTAAAATGTAAAATAATTAATTTAGAAAAATTGCCTTAAGAGCAAAAAAATTAACATGCGCACCTTTTCTGCATACCTAGAGTTTGTAAGAGATTTTTAATTATGTTTGTTTTTCTCCTAAAAGCATTTCATTAAACGCATAGCAAAAAAAAAATCATATAGCAAAAAAGTTTTCTCATTTTTATAGATTTATTATACATGATTGTTCCATATACTGCTTGCAAACTCATTATATGCTAAAGACGTTTTCACTTACAGACATTTGCGTGCAACGCTATACAAATGGCAGAACTAAGAAGATCTTAGACCATTAAAAACTATAGACTATAAAACGCTAAGGGATCGTCTATAAATTATGCAATGCTAACTTTATTTTTAAAAAAGAAGGAGATCTTAAGTTCTTTTAGGTGGTAGATTTTCATTAAACTTAATGAGCTATTTTGATTTTTTATTAAATTTACGACTCTGCAAGGGAAACTTCTGACTTTTTTTGGTTTGTTCATTAGTGAAATTTAGCGTTGTGTCATTTATGGAAGATCCCTAATCTAAAAGTTAAGTCAAAAAATAATGGAGTATACTATTTTGATGGTTATCTAAATTCTCTCGTTATTGTGCACTCGGTTTAGAATGAAAACATTGACTTACAAAATTTTAAAAACATTGACTTTTTTTTTAATGGAAATAAATGCTATAGATCAAATTAAAGGTTGACACAATGGAATTTTCAATTAAAAGTCAAACTGTTAAACTTGATATATTTTAAGTATGTTTTAACATTACACAATTTAAAGTTAACGTTTGTTAGATATTTGCATACTCTTCTGTTCACATTTTCTTATTAAACAAAGTGCAGTGACTCTTTCTTGCTATTCTATTCTATTGCTATAACATATGAGACGCATCTTAAGCAAGTAGAAGCATTGTCAAAAATGGTTGTTGAACAAAAATCAACAATTATCATTCTTACAAAGCAAAACCAACAACTTGAGCAAAACCCCACCTGCCTCCTCAACTACAGCAGCAGCATGGAGCGTTGTGGTGAGAAAAACGTTAATTAAAACGCCAGCTCAAATAGATATCCTTAATTGTGTTGCCAATGAGAAAAAAGATAAAAAAACATGACAAAAACCTAATCTTATTTGGCATTTTAGCATCAAATAAAATACAGAACAGAAGCAAGTAAATGATGAGAACAAAATCAAGCTTCAAACCAAGGTTAAAATTAATAACTCTGACAAAATTGATAAAAATAATAAATCTGACAATGCTTTTGTTTATATTCAAAATATCCAAATAAACCTCCTCCTATTATAGTCTAAACAACAGAAACTGTCACTAGAAATAAAAGCAGCATGGCAAAAATTTGAACGCATCTATATTAATCCAGATTTGACAGAAGCACAGAGAAGATAAAATAGACAATTACAAGTTAAGTTGAAAAATAAAAACAAACCTTTTAATTTAAAAGACAACTAGGCAACAACAGGTCACTACTACCTTATTCGTAATAATGCTATGGATGAGGTAGATAAATAGCAATGCAGAAAAACTAATTCAACACCATATGCTGACAATTTGAATCTACACAACATTTCTCTAGAGCATGCATCACTTTTAACTATCTGTCTACTACAACAGTCTGCTGTTCAAAAAATATCATGCTGGTATAACAATACCACATCCCTAAGCAATAAAATACCAAAGTTTCTAGCACCAATTGAGACATCCAAACCCAAAATAATCTTCATTACAAAAACTTGGTTGCATAAATTATTAATGACAAACATTGAAAACTACATGCTATTCAGAAACAATTGTGTGTCCAGCAGAGAAGGTGGGGTGGCTATTTATGTTAACACTTCATTAAAACAGTAAACAAAAAAATTATATTTGATTACTCTAAACAAATTTGGTGCAAAATGTTGTACCAAACACCTGGTTCTGAACACATCCTACTGGACTGCATATACAGGCCATACATGCTAGATCCACTTAAAATAATTAAAACATCCATTCCTAAAGCAAGTGAGCTTCTGTTTAGTA